TTTGGTCTATCTAAAAAATTTATCATTGTCGTTAATGGATCAAGGTAGATCATGTTTATTTAGTTATGTGTCACTAACTAGGTTAACTTTGTTAATTTTTTCTTATGTGGCCTCCAAATTAGCATAACCTCATATATTCAATGTGGAAACTAATTAAAAAATCAAAAGCAAAAAAAAAAAAAACCAAATTTGTAAAACACCAAGCTGAGATCAACAACTCCAAGACGCAAAGCTGAACACATGAACTTGATATTTTGTTTTCGTTTTTCTCATTATATAAATTCAAAAGGTCTAGGGAGAATGATAAAAATGGGGATTTGAATGCCAGTCCAAGTCATATTAATTTTTTCATATGTTAAATCTTCAATTTCTGATATTGCCTTGATCTAGAATGCCATTGGAATGTCAGAATCCATGAAATTGAAAATCAAAATCCATGAATCCAAAAATAATAACTATAAACAAGATTTCTCTAATTTAGAAACCCAAATCTCACTTTGGTTCTGTCACCGTTAAATTGATTTAAAGACAATTAATTAATTTATTGTGAGTGTAATTCAATTAAAAATGACACATACTTTTGAACAGAGTGAGTATTTATTAATGATATTAACTCATCACCTATTTATTAATTGAATTTGAGAATTTATGTGTATTTGGTGTATAGAATATATATGTAATTCATGCGTCCATTCAATATATTTAGATAAATTTTAAATTTGGCACGTATTTAACGCATATAAGATATAACATCTAATTCATTGCATTTGAAATTTCCTTTTAATATATGCAAATGAATTTGAAATTTGACGCCTATTTAACGCGTATAAGAGTAATCCATTACATTTAACACACATATTCAATATATTTAGTTGAATTTAAATTTTTTAGTGTTTTTGTCGTATCTCAGATGTGATTCATCGTATTTGACACGTCCATTTGGTATTTGCAAATGAAATTGAAATTTGGCATATATTTAACGCATATAAGGTGTAATTCATTGCATTTGATGAGCCTATTTAATACTCCATCGGTCTCAAATTATAAAATATTTTTAAAAAAGAGTCAGCATTTCAAAATAAGACATTTTAATAAAAATAAGGTTTTATTAATGATGCTTTTTCAATATTACCCTTTTCATATATTCTTTCTCTTCAATATTCTTTCATCAATGAAGTATTAAATGAAGTGTATTTTTAAAAGTTTATATTTTTATCTCGAAAAAATAAGGTTGTAAAGTGTATTTAATGAGTTTTATTAATATGTGAGATTTTATCTAAAAGTATCTTATAATTTAAAACAGAGTTAGTATATTCAAATGGATTTGAAATTTGACACCTATAAGTTGTAATTCATTGCATTTAATTGAATACGTTCATTCAATAATCCAAATGAATTTGAAATATGATGCCTTTTTAACGCATATCAAATGTAATTCATCATATTTGACGCGTCCATTTAACATATTCAGATGAATTTAAAATTTGGCTTGTATTTGATGCATATCAATTCTAATTCATTGTATGCGAAACGCTTATTTAATATATTTCCACTAAATTTGAATTTTAGCGTGTATTTCACTCATATTAGATCTAATTCATTGTATCTAAAGCGTCCACTCTTGCATTTAAAGCTTGTACCCAAATCCCTAATCACTCATTCTTTGTGCTTTCTTCTTTTGTTGTCATAAGTCTCAATCTCAACTTCTCTCAAACACCCAAGTCATCATTTTCTTTGAGCATTTCCTTCATTCTAGACCTGATTCTTCTTTTTCCTCCAACCTAATCCATATATCAACTACACGTCTTTGTCCTTTTTACTTTTCCTGTCCCCCCCCCTTCTTTATGTCTTTGTGTTAATTTTTTGATTTAATTATTGTTTGACACAAACAACCATATGTTGGTGGTTTTTTTACTTGTTTTTATCATAACTCTCCCCCTCCTCTTAACCATATTAATCCATTCTCCATCCATTTTATTTGTTATATTGCAGATTGAACCATCAATTTTTTATCAATTCTTGGTTAGTTTTATTAACTATTGATTAGTCTTCTTTCAACCAGTTCCTCTTAACCAATTGTCCAATTTTCAAACAATTGATGGCCAATGGCATATTTTAACAAAGCTCTAGAGAAAATATTAGCTATGAAATCCATCACACTTCCTACTTGCTTGATTTAGTCTAATTTTTTTTTGTTGAATTTTCACTCTTAGTTTTTGAATAATTGATTGTTCAAACTACTCTTGGAATTGGAAAAAGATCACATGAAAAGCACTGTGAAGAATCCGAGAAGAACTCGACATCAACCAATCAATGGTTGAAAAAGAAAAATGAAGGCCTAATCTTAGTGACCATGTTCGGTACCGCACAAGATCAATTGATGAACTTGAGTATTTTATGCTTAATGATCCTCCATCTTTTACTTCACCTTTTAGCAGCAGTTCAACTCTTAGCCGCAGTTCATCTTCTAAAAGTATAAAATAAAGAGAACCCTATATTTTTTTTCTTATACTAAAATTAAAAGATGAAAATGTACCGAGTTTGCTCTATTATATATTTTTAGAAGATGAACTGTGTTTACTAGGTGCAATGGAACATGAAAAGGATCGTTAAACATTAAAATGCTCGAGTTCATCAATTTGATCTTGTAGGTGCCACACAAAGTCACGAGGATCCTAAGCCTCCATTTATCTTCTGCCGGCATTGATTTGCTGGTCTTGAAAGTTCTACTCAGATTCTTCATATTACTTTTTCATGCAATCTTTTTCTGCTCTAGGTGCAGATTGACCTGATAATTGTTCAATTACTAAAACAGTGAAAATTTCAACAACTAAAAAAATTAGACGATATCAAGCAAGAAAGAATTGTGATGAACAATAGCTAACGCAAGGGCCTAAACAGCAGCAGTATATATGAAGCTGACGAGAAAGATGCAAATAGGGGAATCATTGTCACTGATCATTCTCGCAAGTGTATAGGATCATTGTAAGAAACTGTCTGGAGTATTTCATGTTGAATTCACAAGAAAGTTGTGCCTTTACTATTTAAATAATTAATATAGTTTAAGAAAAATAGATAAAACAAATTATTCAATAAGAATATGAATAATGAAAATAAAGCAAGAAGATAATGATGAGGAAAATACAATCACTTGAAACGTTGGGATTATGATTCACTCTATAGAATACTAGTTTCTGTCCTTTGAGATGATTTTGATTAATTACTAATTTTTATCCTTTGAGATGACTTTGATTAATTATAGTGATAACTATTTTTAAAGTGTGCTAATATTCTCTCAAATTATTAATCTCTTTTTAATTAGTGTTGAACTCATTCTCACAATAGTCAAATAATTAATTAAATAGTGAAGTCATATTTTAAGCCACCACAAATTTTTAGAACCGTCTTTAATCTAATTATTTATGTCTATTTTTCTAGACCTAAGTTTTTTCTTCACCTTCCAACCCATTAAGATTACCCATTGATTAAATTGTGGCTATACATAAAATCAACATGAAGAACAATAGAAATAAATATAATTGAAAAAAATATGTAAATATAAAAACAAATAGTCAAAAAAATAAAATAGAAAACTAACTCTCTAATTGAGCTACATTCGTATCCCAATTGGGTAATTAAAAACACATAATAAAATTAAATAACATTGTTCTAAAATCTTCAATCATGAAAAATGATTTCAAAGAAAATTAAGAAATTAAAAAAGTAATTATAATTTGTAAAATTCATCAACAATATTACTTTTAGCTTTTAAAATATTTCTATGAGTTCTAAATATCTTAGAGAAGATTCTTGAAATATTCATATAAGTGATTGAATTACCTCGAATAAGGTTATGAGCTCTTATTTATAATATTTTGCAACCAATATTTCTTAATCCTTCTAAAATATCATAGTATCATTTTAAATTTGATATTATTTAAAATATTATCTTCTTTTTAAAATAATTCTCATCTTCCTGCTTCTATGTGTGCCTCTTCAATGCATTCTTCGTTTGTTTGATTTTTCTCTTTCCTTTAATATCTTTTATAATATTTCCTGCACACAAAAATAAAAGAAGATATATGAATAGATTTTATAGAGAATTTCTCTTTTACCTCATAATTATGTGATGATAAGAAAATATATAAATATTAATTAAATAAATATAATTAAATTTAAATTAAAATTTATATCTATTTAATTATAAAATATGTAATCGTCAATCACAACAACATCATCAACAGCAACAAACCATTGAGGATACCAAACCCTCATAAGCTGTACAGATAAATATTGTTGAAAGGTCATCTCTGCTCAATGTTTGATGAATAGAAAGGCGTGGCAGGTGAATGAGTACCAGATTTTTGGGGAATCCTATGCATCAAATCACGAAGCTACTTTTGAAGCAAGTAGAGTAGTTGAAGCCAGCCTGTAGGGGAACTGAGAATGGCAGCGAGGTTGAATGTTCAAAGTTTAATGTAATGAAATTTCCAGTTTTCTTTTTCCTGTTCTTATTGTTATGTAATGATTTTTTTCAACAGAATCAACAAGAAACTGTGCTCCATTTTCAAGCTGAGTTAATTACCCTTAAATAAAGCGTTATATATCCCAACCATTTCCAAGGGCCTTCTGTTGGAGTAGGCCTAAAAAAGAAACAAGCAGAAATCAAAAACTAAATCAAACCAAGGGTGCGTTTGTATTACCATTTGCAAAACAAGATTTTCCGCAAATTAGAGCTTGCAAACTAAAGTTTGGATAAAAATCTGATACAACTTGCTTCTGATTCAACCTAGGTTATAGTCTTAACTATAGTTGAGTGAAAAAGTAATCCTGACATGCATGCAGAAATTTGCCCCAATTATAGCTTTTTACCCCCCAAATCTTGGTTTGTGTCATCTCAACCATAGTCCGGGCATGCATGTGAGTTTGCTTGCAGAATTAATTATTGAGTAAAACTTGATCAAGTAAAGGGTTAATTAGATGAGAAGAAACCCAAAAAATAAAAATAAGTGGAATTATATTCATACGTACGGCAACATGATACACGAGATGGATAACATATTATATGTGATATGAGGCCAAATCATATATGCAATCTAATATCAAAACACAGAAGGGCTGCTCTTGCGATTTGATTTTTAATATAAAACAGTGTCAAGATACAATCCTGTGGTGTTTGAGAAAGCATATTAAGAAGACTAATTAGTTGAGAGGTAAGATTGGGCAATACGACCAAGTCCACCACGAGGGTAGAATCCGCCAGGGTAATGTTCATCACCATCTCCATACACGATCCTCAGCACTTCTTGTGGCGATCTTCCATATGAGAGCGATTCCTGGTCACCTGCAAGCACGTTCCCTGAAATTCTTCCCTCTGCTCCTAACTTCCTTGGCACTATGAGCCCTTCGTCTTTCAGCCCTTCCTTCCCCAGCTTGTTCCTTAAATCCGAGATCCGGTTCGTGAACTCCGCCACGCTCTCTCCGTACGGCACCACCGTCTCCCTCCGGCGTTCGTATAACAGCGTTCTGATCACCGCGTCTTGCCCTGACTCCACCCCCAGAAGCCCCGCCACGAGCTGTCAAATTCACATGCATGTACATGTTATATATGGTTCTTGGGAGAGGTTACGTGCGTTTGAGATTGTTCTATGCCCGACCTCTTCATTGTTTTTCATCTATCTCTTTTCATTTAGATCGAGCATAAAATCTTAGACTTTTTTTTTTTAAAAAAAAGAAAGATCATAAGCATTTTGATAATGAAAGGGTGCATTTAATTCAATTTTTGCAATTGGTTTTTTTCCTCCCTTGATGCCTCCCTTTTGCACTTTCATGGACAGGTGGTTTAACAAAACAAAAAAGACACCTCCTGATGTGAGTGCAGGTGACAGTAATCAAGAGACATACCAGATCCCATTTTTTAATTAATTTTCTTCCAAAATGTAAAAAAAAAAAAAACCCAAAATTGCATACTTCTCCGGTTCTATATATTAATCACCTTCTAAAAACTTCTATATATTAATCACCTTCTAAAAATATAATCTAGTCCCCTTTATAAGTCACTAGTTAATGTAATTGTTTTGTTTCAAATGAAAATTTCTAAATTACCCTTCAAAAATAAAAGAGAGAAAGACAAAAAAAATATTGTATTATTTGTTTACTTTTTATTTTTTACTTTAGGGTTATATTTGAAATTTCACTTACTTTTATTCCTTATATTTTTATTGTATTAGTATTGATGAGGTTGATAAAAATAATTTATAAATAAGATTAGAGGCAGTATTCTAAAATATTAAAATTAAAATATCCATTATTTCATGTAGAATGTTTAGGGTAAAAATAATAATAATAATAATAAACCAATTGAAAGGTTTCTAGAAACCTAAGAGAATACTTTTTTCAAACCACAATATATGTAGGATGTTTTTTTGAAGTCCTACTTAATTCAAAATATAAGATATTAGATAAGTTTTATATTTTTTTAATACTCTTATTTTATTATATTCCATTCAAATAATTAATGAGAGTATTTTAAATGAGTCAAATTTTATATTTATTCAGTGGGACTGAAAGGATGTGAAATTTTTTAGAAAAACAAAATTTCAACCACCTCATTTTTAAAACATGAATTAATTAACAAGTACTTGTATGATAGTCTAGAAGAGCAAGACATTAGAGCTGTGTGTGAGGCTTACCGCCTTGGAGGTGAAGTTTTGGAGCAGTGGATTTGCTCCAACGTAGCCAGTGAGGCCAACATAAGGGATTACGTAAGACGCGAGCAAGTAGTTTATTTCATTTGCGTATGGATCGAAAGCTGGGTACAGCCTTCTCCCAAATGCACTGTTCATCACATCACCGAATGCTTCCCTGCTCAAGTTCAACAATGGCCTCGGAAACCCTTTCACTCTGCTTTTTATTGCCCTGCAATTTCATTACTCGTACAAAACGCAAACACCAGAATTTCAAATAATATCAAGCGCGCACGCACACATGTATATGTTAGTTCATAGAGTTGAAGAACAACCTTAAGTGACCAACTTCCTGTAATCCAAACTGGAGGATGATGTCTCGGACTAAGAAGCCCAGATTGGCCAACGTGGCACCAACAGGTGGGGGTCCACCATCAGCTAGTTCTGGAGCTACGGAATCCAATCCATGACCCGAAGCCCCAATCAGAAAGAACTCGGCTTCCAAGAACTCAAGATTCAGAGGGAACTCCAGAAGATCTGCGTCATTGATCTTCATGCGTGCTTCTGCACTTACAAGCAAGACGAGCAGGAAGCTTAGGAAAGCCACCTTAATGGAGGTTTTTGAGGTGGGAGTGTCATGAAACCCCATGTTTCTCGCCTGTTTTTCTGGCCTGCGTTTCTGTCTTTCTGCTCTGTGTCTTTGCCATTGACGTGTGAGCCTATATATACACGAGAAACCGGCTGGTTCCTTTGACTTTTCGCTAACTCTGAGTCGGTTGTTGCTACGTGTTCTTTTTGTGAACTCAGTTCTTTCAAAGCAGTGCCTTCTGGTCAATGTCGTATAGATGAACATTGTTATTGCCTGGTTGAATAATTTTAATTTGATTTTATTGATAAAAGTATTTCAACCAATTGTGAAATGGCGTTACGTAGGAAATTGGAAATAACTGAGTTGTTTAGATAGACTGGAATGCAAAAATTCTGTCAGAGTTCCACGTGCATGCTAAGAGTGATGAAATTAAGGAATTGGGATTTGCATTCGTGTCAAAGGCCATGACCATTTGAAAACTTGTGGTAAAAGAAATCGTGGGATCATTAATTAACTTAACATAAGTTAACATTAATAAATACGTCAGTGTGCCCGTCAATATGACATAGGAGTAACTTAACATAAGTCCAAGTTATCATTAATTAACTGAGACGACTTTTGAATTGAAAATTTAAGATGTGCTTTAATAAATAAAATAACATAACAAATTTTCTTGATACTCTGCATGAAAAATTAGAGGCTCAAAAAATCTCGAGGCTTTGCTTGAAAGTTTTTGAAAATTTCTTTACTTTGAAAGCCCAAGTCTGGATGGGCTTAGTCCAAATAGTCAAATTCTTTTTATTATTAATAATAAAAAATTAATATTCACCTCAACTTTTACTTAGTCTGGATGGGCTTAGTTCACACATTTTGCATTCATAAATGAAGTTTTAATGTTATAATAATTATTTATTTTAAATATTTCTTAAGAAATAATAAACACCAAGAGGTTATTTCATATGCTTTCATTTTTACCTTTTTAAGTACTAGGTCTCACTTTAATAAGGATAGAAAAAAAAGTTTGTTGCATTGTTGTGTTACTTGAAAAATCTTAATTCTTTAAGGTAGCAAAGTAAAATCTTGTCCCAAAAAAAGGAAAAAAATAAAATAATATAAAATTTAACAATCCGAGTATTCAAGCCAGCCTGAATTAAGGCTAGCCTTTGACTATAAGTTTTTTAATGCGTAGATATTTTAAGCCTAATTTGGATAAGTCCAGCTCCAATAAACATTGCCCATTTGAATTATCAATGCTATAAAAAATACTCCATTGGTCCTATTTATAGAACAGTGAAAGATATATGTTTAGGTCTTATTTATAGAGAAATACTTAGATAGATCGAATGTACCATATCATTTGTGATCTATCCAATAAAAATATAATATTTAAATAGATTTAAATATAAATTGATTCTAATATTAATGATAGTAAAGAGAAAAAATGTAAGAAATTAAATATGCATTTTGTTATAAAAATAAAATTAATTTAAAAAATGTCACATAAGGTTTTATTTAAATTATTTGAAACATTTTAGTTAAATAGATCATAAATAATGTGATACAACCAGTCTACTTAGGTATTTTTCCTTGTTTGTATGGCACCTCAATGATTGTTGTTCATTTTTTACTCTTTTGCCCTTATTAAATGTTAGAGTTTTTTTATTTTTTAAGTATGTATATTTAATAAGAATAAAGTTAAAAATTTATTGAACTTTAGAACAAGGTTAATAAAATTTAAATTTTTTTAATTTTAGTAAATATGTTAGAAATGATTAAGAAATAGGAACATAGGGAGTGTCTCCCATGTTATAAGGACATGATGAAACAAGCTTTTTATCTCTTCCGCGCGAATGAGAGAGTGAGGTTGAGCAATTTTTTTAAATACAAAGACATGGAAAGAGAATCGTGTAAAAGAGAGAAACAAAAATCAGAGCATGTTAAATTTTATGAGTTCCACACACAGTTGAAGAGATTGAGCAATTTCGGTGCAATAAAGTGCCAACAAATTTGCTAATTGTGAGTTTGGATTTTCACAAATTTGCTAAAGGATTTTTTGAACATTTATATTTATGTTTTTAAAAAATAAAATTGTAAAATATATTTAATAAATGTTATTAATATACATAATGTTACCAAAAAAATGTCTTATAAATATTAACGAAATGAATGTAAAAAAATGGCTTTTCACTCAAACTTGAAGTTATCATAGAGGCTGATTTGTTTTTCACTTTTGACTTTTGTGTTTATTTTCAAAACATAAATTATGAAAAGATGTTCAAACATAAATCATATTAAATTAACAAAAAAAATCCCAATAAATCATGTTATAGTAACTAACTTTTACACTAACTTTGTTTTATTAACTTGATTTCATGAAAATTTCAATTTTGTAATTTTGAATCCAAGCACACACAAGTAATCTCATATATGTGATCCTCATTTTTTTAGGAGAATCGCATTACAAGACTCAAAAAAGTCAAAAATTATACTGCAAGCTTAATAGATTCTGTTATTGGCTGCAAGCCCAAGGGCTCTTTTGCAATTTTTCGTAAGAGCGAAAGAATAATTTTGCTCTTATGTGATTTGAAAACTCAGATCATACACAACACAATGTTCATGCATATCTAATTAATCAATAAGTTTAATAAAATGTATAAGTGATGCACACAACATACAACACAATATTCATGCATTCTCAACTAAATATCTATGCATGGACACAAATGGATATTGTCTTAAGAATTCATGAATATTGTGTTGTGCATCCATGGACATTATGTTATACATGCAAATAAATATAGTCAATATTGTGTTGTACATCTATGGGCATCATGTTGTGCATCTATGGACATTATGTTGTACATAATTTGAGTTTTTTTAAGTCACATAAGGGCAAAATTGTACTTTCACTCTTAGAAAAATTTGAAACAAGGGTCCTTAAGCTTACAATGTAATATCAGAATGTATTAGACTCAAAGTGACTTTTTTACTATTTTAAGGCCTATAGTGCAATTCTCCCTTTTTTTTGGCCCCATTTATTTGATATTTTTGCACGTTAGGTGCTTCTCCTAGAATTTGTCTGTTGTATACCCTATGAATAATAACAAAGCCGGATGAGAATTCTCTCCTCTTTCCTTCCCATATTAGGGATGGAAATAGATTAAGTCAAATTAAGCTTTGACTAAATAGGTTTCAGCCTATATGATAAATCAAAATCTTAAATCTAGCTTGAAGTCTGTATAAGATTTTTTTCTCGACTCAAGCGTAAGTCTACTTAAAGCATGACTTGACCTAAAAGCCTATTTAATAGCCTACTTAAAATTAGACTTTTTAAATAAGTTCTCATTTTAGTTTTAAACATTTTAAATACACTTTAGAATTATTATAGTATACAATATATAACCTAATGATTTATCAATTACAATATATAATAATTGAAAGGGCTTACCAACAATGATATAATATAACAATAAAGTAATAACGTTAAAATTAATATATGAATCCAATATAATTGAAAATATAACTAGAAATTAAAAAGAATAGATTGATTAAAAAATAAATGATGAATTAATGTATTGTAATATATTACATACTCTGTGTGTGTGTGTTTTTTTTTAATTAAAGGCCTAAACTTGGCATGAGCTTATTGAGTAAATAGGTTATGTTAGGTCTGAAGTAAGTCAAGTTATAGATCCTTATTAGGGGCATGACCTATTTCACCACTACTTCCTATCATCTTTCTCTCTTTTTCTTAATTTCTAACTATCAGATCAAGGTTTGGATGGTCCAAATTTGATTTCCTATATAATATTTCATTTTAATTTATTTTACTGCATTTTTATTAATTCAAATTATATTTTAGCAATTTAAATTTCATTATTTTGTATTTTTTATGATTTAATTTTAACAATAATTTTATAAGAGGTAAAATCTAAACAATCAAAATCTTAATTTAATGGCTAAAAAGAGAAAAGAATGAAAGAAAATGGCAAAGGAAAAGGAGAAAATCATCGCCCTTCTATCTCAAAAACACCAGTAATTAATCACCATTTGTCATAATTTTGTGGTCATCTCAAATTTTGTACTATTTTTTTATTAACATATTACATTTACAGTTGGTATATTAAGCCAATCCGACTCAGAATATCGGATGCAATATGTTAAAAAAAAAATCTTTATAAATGAAAATGAAAAAAAAATAAATTAGATTTGATTGTGGTGGACAGCGAAGCTGTGATGACAAAGCCAACGTTGGCCCCAACGCTGTTGAGAAAACGGTGGGATATATTATGTCTGTTTTCTAATAGAAAAATTAATTTTTAATTTTTTTAATTTTTAATTCACTCATAACTCAATCTTTCAAGTATGACTTGCTGCAACTCAGTCAGTAACTTTTAATTTATTTATGACTCAATCCCTTAATTTTTATTAGTTTTATTTTTTCATGCTAGCTTAAATTTCACATAAAAGAGTAACATGGGGTATTTTAGAATAAGATACAAGCATTTATTTCATCCCTCTTATTTGATAAGGATAATTTTAAAAAAAATTAAAAAACAAGAATTAAGTTATAAGTGAGTCAAATGTTGAAAGATTAAGTCGTATCAAATCATAATTGAAAAATTGAATCACAACAAATCATATTTGATTCAGAAGTGAATTAAAAATTAAAAGATTAAAAAATTAATTTTTACTTCTCTAATTCAAGAGTTTGTAATTGCAATAAAGCTCCTTCCAGGGGACTTGAAATTCTCCCAAAACTTTACCATCTAAAAGGCTAAAACACATACTTTAATTAGTTTTTTTGGGAGAAGCTCAACTGAATATTAAAGATGTGACTTAATTACTAATGGGTTCAAAAAAATCTGAAATTTTAATTTAATTCAGGAGGACTAACATGGAAATAATTTTAATGGTAAAAAGATCAAAGTACCATTTACTTGTTAATTTTGTTCAAGATGCTAAATTATTAGTTATTAATTTTCTCACTTCACTTGTTAATTTATCAATATGAGTTGTAAATTACAAAACTTGACATGTCAATAATCATATAATACTTCAATATTAATTGTTCAATTACAAACATCAACATCAATTGTTAATTTTTCAACTTTACTTATTAATTTGCTAACATCATGATGGAATATGAGATAATGGTTAATTAATATAAGTAGAATTTATTTAAGATATTAAGATTATTCATTAGGAATATTTAAATAAAAATTTTATTCATTAGAATCAGAAGTTATTATTTATTTTAATATTATCTTATATATTAGTATTTTAATATTATATTTAGATTTAGAATTTGGAATTTAAATTTAAGTTATTATTATTTTATTAGTTTTAAGGCTCTATAAATAGCCTTAGAGTTTTTCATTTGTATCCAGCTTTTGAATATTATTGAACAAGAGTTTTTGACAGTTTTGACCTCCTCCCTCATTCTTTCTCTTCCTCCTCCTTTCTCTTTATCCCTTCTCTCTCCTCCCTTTTTCTCTTTCCTATTTCACATCAATTTGATACTAGAGCCTGGTTTTACTTGCCTTTCCTACACATGAAATCCATTCTTTCAAATCTTTCCAAAGCTACAAATCATCTCACGAGGCCAAGCCATTGGGTCTCAACTTTATTTAAGCTTAGTTGGCAATAGGAGCTACAACATATACAATATGACTATGCTGATCTACCACAAAATGCTCAATGGCAAAAGGATTATGCTCAACAGTATACATATAATGAATATCAACAATAGCATGCCTATCCATCGCAAAAAACTTATTGGCAAGAGAGCCATTGGTATGGTTATGAAGAGCAACAATATAAGTACACAAGCCATCAACAGTACAGGCATATTTATTGTGACAATTATAACCGTCGCTCTCTTTAATTGAAGTATGCTAATCATAAGCGATATGAATACAAAGATCATTACCCACATGAGTACATTAAGCAATAACAATATAAGCATCTTAATAGCCACCAACATGATTATATTTATCAATATGAAGATGGTACCTGTTGCCATTATGAATATGCTGACTTTCAAGAGAACATAGACCAAATTTTAGCTAAATTGGATCGCTTTCAGCAACAACAAAATTGTTATTTTGACAAGCTTAAGAGGGATTGTGGCGAAGTTAAGAAGGCACTTCAGTTAGCAGTGTTGAATAGTAAGTTCGTTATACCTTATTTAGATCTTCAAATTTTAATGGAAAAGTTGTACTTTTCAAGTGAGATTGGCAACAAAAGTGTGATAAGAACCTAGCTCTGGTACCAAATTGATGTGAAACAGAAAAGAGGAAAAGGAGGAGAGAGAAGAGATAAAGAGAAAGGAGAAGGAAGGAGAAAGAATGAGAGAAAAGGTCGAAACTCTCGAAAATTCTTGTTCAATAATATTCAAAAGCTGAATAAAATGAAAAACTCTAAAGCTATTTATAAAGCCTTAAAACTAATAAACTAATAATAACTTAAATTCAAATTCCAAATTCTAAATCAAAATATAATATTAAAATACTAATATCTAAGATAATAATAAAATAAATAATAACTCCTGATTCTAATAAATAAAATCATTATTTAAATATCCCCAATGGATAATCTTAATATCTTAAATAAATCCTAATTTTATTAATTAATCATTATCTTATATTCTATCATTTTGATATTTTGACTAGCTTAGGAGGGATTGTGGCGAAGTTAAGGAGGCAACATATGAGATTAAGAGAATGATCAATCAATTGAGAAAACAAATGAAAGAACAAGCATAAGGAAGCCAACAATGGCAAAAGTTCCTTCCTTGCCAATATAAGATTCTCTAGATAATGATCAAGTTACCCACTATATACTAGTACAAGTGGCTCCATCTCAAAGTGTTTCTATCAAGGGTCAATCTCATCATACTATAACTATTCCTTGTCTACAAGTTGCATCTCCTAAGGTCACTCCATTGCTTAATGCTCAAATTCAACAAAACTCTATCTATTGGAAAGGTTTTTCAGAGATTTCACATGGTTAAACTACTCACTCTTGCCAGCATTTGTTCTTTCACTACCTCATTTGTTGGAAAGGATTTTCAGATCTATGCACATGGATGAAATTTTATCCCACCCATCCTTCCTCGACTAATTTGTACATCAATTTTAACTCGTCGGGAGACGAGTTCTTCAAGGAGGGGAGAAATGATAGAATATGAGATAATGATTAATTAATATAATTAAAATTTATTTAAAATATTAGGATTATCCATTAGAGATATTTAAATAAGGATTTTATTCATTAAAATCAGAAGTTATTATTTATTTATTGTTATCTTATATATTAGTATTTTAATATTATATTTAGATTTAGACTTTGAAATTTGAAATTAAGTTTTTATTATTTTATTAATTTTAGGGCTCTATAAATAACCTTAAAATTTCTCATTTGTATTCAGTTTTTGAATATTATTGAACAAGAGTTTTTGAGAATTTGACCTTTTTCCTCATTCTTTCTCTTCCTCTTCCTTTCTCTTTATCTCTTTTCTCTCCTCCCTTTCCTCTTTCCTGTTTCACATCGCATCAGTTATAAATTATCAATAGATTTTATAATTTACAATTAATATTAGTGAAATAATAAGTAAAATTAATAAATTAATAATAGATATTACAGTTTATATGACAAAACGATATAATTTACAATTCATATTGATAGATTAACAAATGACGTAAGAGAATTAACAATTCATAATTTTACATCGTAGATAAAATTAATAAATTAAAAATACTTTGATCTTTTCACAATTAAAATTATTTTCACTTCAATCTTCCTAAACTAAACTGAAATTTCACTTTTTTTTAAACTTACTAATAATTAAATCACATCCTTTATCCTTGGTTACAATTCTCCCTAGTTTTTTCTTGGTTTCGATACAAGCATGTGACATTTTTGTTTGATGGAAAAGGGGAAGGTATGTAACAGTTTTTTGTTTTGGTTTTTTGGTTAGAGAAGTAATGTAACATTTATTACTGAAGTGAAGAGGCATTATATCAGCAAGTATGGAGCTCATAGACGAAAACACAACTACCCGTTCGTGTCGTTCATACGTGCAACTCATGCTTGTAAGCTTTGGTTGAACAGCACAAAGCTCATCTTAATTACTTCAGTCTTTACATCCAAAGTCACAATGCATAACATCTCTCTGCATTTATTAAAAGCAAGATCACATTTTACCCACTGCCTATCTCCTTGCTTTCTCAGCTCTCAATCTTCTTATTTCTGGCTGTCTTATGTAGGTTAATGCATCATCTGTAGATTCCCCACTCCCACCACTAACATCTCCATCTCTATCTCCGTCTCCATCTCCGTCTATGTAGATAATATTGTCTCCATCATTACCATCCATCTCTTCTTCCTCATCCCAATCACCATCATATTCTGCATCAATTTCTCCTTCATCGTCGTACTCATCATCGATATTTGCACGCAGAGTGTGAAATTCAGGAGGAGGAGGGCAATCTTCCGTGATAGCCTCGTCTCTCTTTACCACGAGATGCCGGATGACTCGTTCATCTTTGTCCAATAGACTCTTGAACTCATTGATGTATTTGGCATCAACCTCAAAGTTCATCAAAATGTAATGTGCTCTATCAGCTTTCTTTATCTTGTAAGCTAGTTGTCTCATCCCCCAATCACTGAACCTCCACACTCGGCCTTTCTTCTCCCTTAGAAAGTCTGCAAATTGTGTTTGCACAAGTGTGAAGAGGATAACCAGATCAAGTTAAATTTCACTATTAAGGCAATGTTTATCACTAACACAGAAAGCAATTGTGTCCAGGCTGATGCTAATGAATTGATGCAACAGTTTTATGTTGTTACTCGGCCATGCAGACATCAAATTGGCAATCCAACAATATCATGTATCCAGGAATTTTTCTCTGCTTGAGTAAATTATATTAGTACAGTTTACCCCTTTAAGGTTAAGCCAGGAATCAATCTAGTTTAGTTGTTACTTAATAGTTTTGGCTTCTGTTTCCAACAAAATACTACCTCTGGTCCTTATCATACAACATTTTCAACCATTTTATGCATCTTAAAATTTTTTTTTAATATTATAAAAAAAATGAAATGTACTTTCATTTTTACCTTTACTTTTATATAATGATACAACTACATTAAATACGTTCACATAATAAAAAAAGATAAAACTGGAAAAAATAGTCTAATTATTTCAAGGTATCCCACATTTTGAACCCAAAATTATTTCTAGAAGCTGTTCTACAAATAGAACTGGAGGGAGTAGTTGTGTAAATACTAATACAATGAATGATTGAAGCATGTTTCACTTGTCCCCTGAAACAATTTCATAAATCTTCTGGGGCCAGAAAGAGAGGTTTGCTAAATCCCAGGCCAGAAAATGAATCACTCAAATATATTGGGAAACTAAGGAACTAATTCTACATAGCATCAGGGAATACGGGCAACAGGAAAAATAAGATTTTGAGAGAAAAATTACCTTGAATTTTCTCATTGACAGCAGCAACCTCTTCTTCATGCTTCTCGTGAATTAAATAAACAATCTCATAGTGGCGCACTGTAAGATTAAAGAATCAAAATATTGTGAGAAAAATCACTTCAAATGCTCATGAGATCTATAAATCAGTCAGTAAACAAACCTTTTGTTGTCTGCACCTTCATAGAAGACAGGCAGATAATCAAGCATTACAATATTCAGAATTAACATGTTCAGATATATCACTTCAAAGATCAAGTACAAGGAATAGCAACATAAAAACATTATTTTTCTAATCCTTTTTACAGTCTGAAAGGAAAGGATAATTAAGTCAATAACCTACTTACTTTGATCTACATCCAGGTCACTTTCCAGCTCAAGCATCAGAGATTCGTAGAGCTGTCCTGTTAAAAAATAATAATAATAAAATAACAAAAGGCTCAGTACAGTTTCTCTTACCAATTAAATCTTTTAAGAATAGGTGCAAGCAACAAGGAGGGACCGAATAAAAGAATTATGACCACTCACTTTCTTCAGCATCTGCAAACTCTGGGAGAACCTTCCCATCTTCCTCAACTTTCTTCTGAAGTTGGAATAAAGAAACCTCACTTCATTGTCATCCAAAAAATTCAACTCATAATGAAAATCGGCTACACATTAGTGCAAGCGGACAAACAGTCAAGTATTAGAGTCATGTAATACCCTCACTCTTGTTAGTGAGCGATTCTCCATCTAATTAATAGAGCGGAAATAAGATTTCGCAAGAGAGAACATGGCTTGAAATTGAATCATGTCATTTCTACTGATCTTTTCTGAGCTATGAAAATCTTTCAAAGGGTTCAGTTGTTCTCTCAACTAAGCCTAAGAAAACATCATCTAATAGCAGAAAGTATACTAAAAATTGGGATGCAAGAAGAGCAAAACATAGGCTTGTAATTGTACGAAACTAACCTCTTTAAGCAGAACAGCTTCAGGGAAAAACCCAGTGGCCTCGTCGGGTTTTGGTATAAAGCTGTGGCTATCTTCTTTCTTGTCTCTCTTACTGGCCCCCACAATCACTGAAACTGATTTTCTTCGCCCAACGGAGATATTCGTACCAGAAAAAGGCAGGGAAGACGACGAAGAATATGAAGGGTTCCCATTTGCGGATATAAAACAAGGATTGTAATTGAGTCCAATTCCATTGCCTATCATCATCTTTGGAGTCTTCAGTAGAAGATAGGCTGTGGATGAAGTCGGTAGGAGTGCCACCATGAACAACGTTTAAGAGAGAAATAGCCGAAAAGGTCGCGGCAATAATGTATCCTCGACGCCTCACTAGGTGGTAGCGACTAGCGGCAAGGCAAGGTCGCTTTATCATTAGTATTCCATTATTTTTCTGAAGTTTCAATTCATTTGGTTGGCCCAAAAAAATAAAAATAAAAAAGAAAACTGATTTTGACTTTTGAGAGATGAATTGATACTTTAAAAATATAGACAGACCTGATTTGTAAGGGTTTGAGTTTTAAAATTTAATTTTTTATTTTTAATTTTATTTTTTAAACTCGACTTCTATGTAAAGATCTCAAAGTCAGGCTCATAAATTTTTTTAAAAAAATAAAAAATTAAAATAAAATTAAACATTATAAATTAATTAAAATATTTTAAAATTTTTTTGAGCAAAAAATATTTTAAAATTAAAAAAATTAAAATTCTCATAATCTTTTAAAAATTAAACAACACACATTTTGAAGTTTAGTAATAAAATTTAAATCTTGATTAAAAAATAATTTATTTTTTATAAATATACAAACATAATAATTATAGAAAAAATAAAAAATATCAAAAATTTTATACTATACATTAATATTAATTAAATTATATTAAATTAATTTTAAAATAAATTAAAATTAATAATAATGTAATGAGTGTAGGATCATGTGAGCAGGTAATTAGCTTCAAACACGTGTTTTACCAAATAATAATAATAATAATAATAATAATACAACAATGCTTGAAAAGCCACCCAAATTCAAACCCTTTTTTACAGAGCTTATCAAGGCCAAGCGCTCAAGTTCGATTATTTTAAAAAAAATTATTTTTAAAATTCAAATCCTTACTTAAAAAGAGCCTTCAAGCCCAGCCCTCCAAATCCTGCCTTATTCTCAACTCTATCTTGAAGCCTGAGCAATCATTTACTCATTTTTCTCGCAATTGAGCAAGAAGTGGTATTCATGTTTAACTACTTATTTGACAAAACAAAATTGTAGTAAAATCCACATTGAGGGTTTCCTCTTTTGAAAAAGGAAAATATAATTTTTAGTTTCTATAATTTTATCAAGTTTTCACTTTAATTCCTATAGTATGGAAACTATAGAGACCTGAAAAATAAAAATAATCTTCCTAAAACTGTAGGAACTAACACTAAAAAAAAAAACTATAAAGACTAAAAACAAAACATAATAAAACTATAAAGGTCAAAGATTGTGTTTTCTTTTTTAGGAAAATAAAGTTTTTCAAAAAATTTGTAGTTGTAATATAAATAGAACTCTACCACCTCATTTTATAAGATTTTTTTTTTTTGGAGTAATTTGATATTCTTATTTTTTTTAATGGGTAATTTTTCTTACATAATTTAGTCTTCTCGCAACCTTCATAGCTAACCTATATTATATCTTTAAAAAAGAAAATACATAATTTTATCTCAATCCAATCGGTTAGAGTTGTGAAAGCAATCCTTCAATCCTGAATGTATGAACTAGTATTGTTTTGGTTCTAAATGTAATCCTCTATGCTTTTCATATTTATTTTATTCCAAACTATCCCTATAGTTATATTTTCATATGATGTATAAGCTATGATGACAATAATCAAATATAAATTATTAAATAAGGAATAAAAAAAAAAAAAACACAACAACAACACGTTGTATTTAAGCCTCATTTTTCCTTTCAGAGAAACAGAATCAAAGCAAAATCTCATAATTGGGCCTTCGGTAAATATCGTGTTCCTTATCCTTGCACCAACAAATGATTAATACCACAATTTTAATTGAGAGAAGCTCCAAAAGTCTGTAAATATCTTATGTGCCATTGCTCTTATTCTATTTCAAACGTTCGTACCAGCAAAAATATAAAGCTGTTTTGCTAATCTAAACGCACCGATTGGTGATAACACCAACATTTGTATGAACATCAGCTGAAAGAGATTAAATATGACGTTTGTGGTTTACTAATATCATCCCTTTGTTAGATCCCTCTCTTCAGTGGCTTTCAAGCATATGGCAACTTGACTGGGAAAATCAAGCGCAACAGGATCATTGCCACATCATCAATTCTTACGGCTATATTGTTGCAGTGTACAGAGCACCCGAAAATTAATGGACACCTGAGGCAATTGGGGAAACTAACACTATACAAGGGGTTCAAACTTCTTCCTCAAGCCTTCATTCAAGCTTCAAGGGCCCACAAATCCTGTCCTTGATAATATAGAAACAAAGATGGCTTTGCTCTCATCGTTGCTTCTTTCCCTTTTTCTTTCTCTTGCTTCCATTTCCACCGCTGCTGCCACCGCTGCCTGATTTAGACGGACTCTCAGCAGCAGCACTGCCACCAAAATTGTCAAACATGCCTGCCTGTGCTGCATTCTGTAACCACTCAAAGAACTCCTCTTCTGTCATGGTTTCCTCCACGTTCATTGTCGGCATCCGACCACCTCTTTGACCAGAATGTGATCCTTTACTTGAACCATGCTTTGATGTTAAGCTAGTGTTCACATGAAAACTCGGTTTATGAGTATTTGCCGGACATCTCATACCCTGCAATAAATATGTTCAGTATTAGTGTCATGTGAATCTTCTAATCTCCATACAAAACCTCAAGGCGCAAGCTTGGAAGCAAGGTAAACTAAAAAAACCAAGCATTTCAGGAAAAGACAAACTGCAGCCCAAGTATCCACTTAGCACTTCTAAATAATAAGCTTTAGCTGCAATATTCACATAATGAAAAACAGTCAGCTTTAAATAGATACTACAAGTATCTATGAGAAACTTCGTCAATTACTCAGAAAGCCTGAATACATCAAACAAATATTTTGCAAAGACGTCAGCTCTGTAAAAGTGACACTAATGGAATCTCATGTCAAGTAACTACAAGTAATACTTGTGGTACTTAAACGGCATGTTTTTCACCACTTATAAACCGTGCTTATGATTGGTTTCCCATACTTACGTAGGTCTCCATCCATTGGTATTAGCTAGTCCAACCTCCACAGAAAAGATTTATGTGGAGGATGCAACCCAGTGGCCGCAATGAGCACCCTGTACCACAATCATCAAGGATGCTATGATGAAGTCCCATGTTGGGTAACCACAGGTAACTCTTGCCGTAGTAGTTATTTTTCCTTACAAGCCAGTTTCTAAGGGTAGGTTTCACATGCTTAAACAAAGACATGCAGCACATACGCTTAACGTTGAGCTGAAACAAATTAAGCTTTTTACAAGCATGTCAACACGATAACCTCACTGCAGAAATATTTCTAATTAACACCTGGTCTCTCAAAAGTCAAATAATATGATGGAAACACAGATTTCATCTTAGAATTATAGTAGGAAACAGCCACAACAGAAAGAAATTATTTTAGGCCTTCATGAAGCTATCCTCTCACAAGCTTCCCTCAAATTAGGCCTACTCTCCACTTTTCCTTAGTGTGCTCTTAGTCACCTTCAGCTTAAACATCTACATAACCCCTTAACAGCCTCCACATGTCCCACACCAGTTTGGGATTCCTCTTTAAGCCCCTATGAACCAATTCATGTTGCCCCTGCTGGCAATTCTCAACAGCCAATTTTTTTCACTCTCTCACAGGCCCTCCTAATTGAGGATATGACATAAGATAAAGAGGACTAAAATTTAAAAAAAACAAAACAAAACAAACAAACAGCAGTACCTGACAGGTATACCATTCAGTGGCATCGTATATCTGGCTATCAGCACACACATAGGCAGAAGGCAAATCCACCTGGGAAAAACAGTAAGCATATCATTTTCTGATGTCACAACTAATAGCACATATGCAACCAAAAATTCCATTTTAATACTAGCTTTTAAAAACACTGAAGGCAAGACTACAGTTCCAAAGTGCTTCCCAATAACAACACCTTCTATCCAACATACATGGTACTTTGATCCTCACCTTCTGCAGCAATCCAAAGAGAAATGGCTGGGACAATTGTTCAACCCATCCATCACCATCTTTGGCTTGATGAAAATCTTGGCAATCCTTCAAATGAAACAACACCATGGAAAACATAAGTGCCATGCCAGGGAAAGAAGAAAAGCTTTCTCATCAAGGAAGACATGCTGACAGTACAAAGGAAAATGCAATATGCCTAACTAACAGTCATCTACATAAGCTTCACGGGCTCCATTAAGAGAAAAAGAAATGAAGGAAAACCTGGCACCATCTTGCTCGAGACTTTTGTTTTTTTGTATGTATCCATATATGAAAGCTGCCACACTTTTTGCATGATATTCGCCTTGAATCCCTAAAAAGGTCATCACTGTCTGCATCTGATCGTGTAAATCCTGAAGGAAAGAATCCTTGCCTACCATTCTAGCCAAAACATCCAGAACAAAAGTTAGATCAGGTATTAACACCAAAACTAGAGAGATGACTAAGCATTTTAGCTTTTCCATGAAGTTCAGAGAGCAAGGAAATAATTAAAAAGCATAAAATCAGATGAACCTTCCCTGTGGAGGGGGGGAACAAATGCGTCAGAACACACCATATGTTTGATGTAGTCAAGTTACAATAGTAGGTTTGTGAACTTTGCACCAAAATTGCCATTAAGACACAACAGCTGTTTATCGTGTCAACTTTTCCCATTTCATCTATTCAAATATAGCACGTGTAATAAATCAGAGGAGCAATGCTTCATTTCTATTATGATTTATAAACAATGGTTACCAGTCCTCCCCTCCAGAGTCTTCTATACATCCATAGCTATTTCCATTGGCCATATTGATAAACTTGAATGCTGATCACTATATTCAATGTAAAAATCATACCTTATGGGATTGAGAAGCAGTCTGAAACCTGCGAAATATGCTCAAAAGTTCCTCCCTCCTCAATTCATCATCATATGCTTTTCGTTTCAACGAATCCATAAGAACCTGGGGGATTGATTATGATTGTACAAAAGATTTAGGTGGAATTTTCTCTTTTGACTTTCTGAATGGGCAAAAACATCAAACTTACCTCATACGCATTTTGAAGCTTCTTAAAAGCTTCTGCCGCCTTTTCATCACCCATATTTTTATCAGGATGCACCAACATTGCCTGACATTCAATACAGACGTCTAGTTCAGGATAAGAAATTGTCAAGAAAAACAATAAGCATTAGATAACCAATCAAAGGATCACTAACAATCATGTAAACCTAAGAGTAAAACATATTAGAAAGATTCACTAAGAAAGAAGGCATGGTTAAGCCAGTATTAGGCAAATAGCATCAGCGAATAGCAATAACCTTTTTCCTATATTCCCGTTTCACGAGTGAAGCATCTATGTTCTGATAGCGGGTCAAGCCCAATACTGAGTAATGATCAGAGCAATTCAACAAACGGACAACTTCTTCTTCAGAAGGTAAATCAAAGTCAGCCCCACTTGTTGAAGGTACTCCCGCACTTCGATCAACAGATGGTCCTGGCCCATTTTCAGAGTAAGTATGCATTGGCTCATCACTAGAGAAATCTGGCTGACCTTGCATTCCAGGTCTATGTTCAGGAGAGGCATTGGATTGACTTTGCTGATTTATCCTTTTCTTGAGGAAGTATATTAGCACATCGCTTGAAATAAATGACAGGTTTAAAGCTAATAGCAAGCCAAGCCACCCAGCGTACAACCGAGCACAATAGACAGAATAGACAGTGGTGATAAGTAGTGCAATACGTTCATGGCTCAACTTATATGCCAGTCCTGAATTTTAAATATTGCCAAACATTAGCAAGTTTTCCAGGAAAATGCATGACAATAGCATGTCTCATTGTTCTGTACAAAACATAAACGTGTTGAGATGGTGCAAATGTACTCAGAAAGGCTCAGATACAGAGAAAATGATGCAAACAACATAATAGACCAGCAAATCACCTCCAAGGAAGATGAAAGTTGCAGTTGTCCAAAAGCTGCCATAAATCCACAAGAAAACAACTCCAAGGATTGCAACTACCAAAATTGCAAGGGTAAGCCCAACGAAGAATCCAATTAAGGCAGCCAGGCCCTGACCCGTTATAAGAAACAGTTAGAGTATACAGGAAAACATATATCTTGCTACATGAGGCACTCAAAACCAATTTCAGGACAGCAAATCATGGTGATTCAAATCATGTACAAATCAACTCAATACAGAGGGAGTGTGAGGATGGGAGTTAAGAATTTATCATTTGCTTTGTCCTCAATTGCTGGATTATCATGCAAGTCTTCAGTTCTCAATATAAAATTGCAATTATGAGAACAAGTATATATCTAGAAGTTGCAAATCACTTCCAATACCTCCAGCTTCTGATAGTGAAATTATGACCAAAAAAACAGCTATAGAGTAATTAAGAACGGATCAATATTAATAGATTAAATAGCTATTTTACAGATAAATGATGATGGTAATAAAGAAGTAACAAAGAGTCCACTGTGGTGTCCACCTAAAATCTATACCAGTTGGGCATCAAATGAGACAGGTGGCAGTGAAATACTCATCCAAAGAAGGAATTCTTTCGAGTTAACAACATTCATACTCAATCTACAGTTGGCTCCTTGATAACCAAAACCAAACACCAAAAAATAAGCCAGAAGGGCTGTTAAAATTTCCCACGCCAATCACTTAAACATTTAAAACAACCCATACATACTTTCAGATAGAAGAGGTTGGAGCTCATGAAAATTTATTTGATCCATTGTTCTCACTATTGAGTACAAACATGAACAATAATATTTAAATTACAAACAAAATCATGAATAACTCGTTCAAATATGTGAAATTGAATTCTCAAAATGTATAATGATACTTTTGGGATCTTCTAAATCAAGTTTCATGATTCATCATTTACATGCTACAACTTCCAACCATGACAAGAGAATGGAGAATCAAAATAGCGAGACCATTAATCTAAAATAATCACCGTTGGCACCTAATGAGCTAAAGATATATAAAATTTATAAACACAGAGGTCACATGTAGAAGTGACAAATAAAACGAGGGTTAAAATATTCAACAAAATATATCTTCTCAATCATAATAATAATAATCAAGACCTAACTTAAAGGTAACAAAAATTATAACTAGAACTTACCAGGATAACAAGAAACTTGAGCATCCCTATCATACCAATGACTGAGAATATGCTGCACCATATAACAGAGAAGAAGGATACAGTCCCCATTCGTACAAAGGAATCAACACCCCTAAGCGCACAGTCCAACCAAAACACTGATAAAAGAAGCATTATGTTCCCAAATTGTAAAAGCCATTTCAGAACAACGGGATATGCCTGCTGAATTTTCATTTTAAGATGTTCACAAGCCTTTAAAATGCTGGACATAAGATATACAAACAATGGCCTCTGTCTGGTTAGCCATGCTGTAAATGCTGTGAAGATGGATGATAACCACAACCTTAATCTCCGAAAATACAAATTATTGGCAAGATCTCCTTTTTCCACAACACTTTTTATGAGAAACCCATTCAGGAAATAGCTCAATCTACTTATTATATTTAGTTGACCTTGATTACTTCTTGGTAATGCCTCATTTTCTTCTTGTATAGGAACTTCCGCATTCTGACTGCACTCTCCTGGATCACTCGTGAAAGACAATGGCTCATCCAGGTCATGCTTAGTAGCCATTCCTTGTTTCTCTTTCCTTGAAATTTTCTCAGAGTTTTGCACATTGTTATTACCATCTCCGGCAGAAGTAGTTTCTTTGGCGTTCTGTGAAAGCCTACTACTATGGTTTCCATTTGAGCACTCTTCTCCAGGAAAGACCTTCACCTTGCCACCTTTGGCATGTCCTTTCACACCTGAAAGCACAGGCCCAGAAACCACTTTTTTGTGGTTCAAACCATGAGGGTCCATTCCATTCTTCTGTTGATTACCCTTCCGAGCCATGAATCATCAATATCTTAAGGAACAGTACAAAGGAGATATCAAATTACGCCATTTTTTACTCCATCAGAAGAAGCAGCATGCCACAATAGTTGTATTAACACTGGTTTCTGGAGCTATAGGATAGAAAGTTTCAGTATGTAATTGCAGGTATCTCAAATCAAGAATTGCAGCTATGAAGGACATGATAACAATTCTATATAAGTCTAGTTTCCACCCAGTTGTAACAGATTATACAGATACACAGTTAACTATTAATATATCATTAACGGAAAATTTCAACCCCCTTGCCGCCAAGCCTCTGGGCTGATTGCAGTTTCCCTATAACAAGGTACTTGAGTATCAGAAAACTCCTGATAACAACTTGAGTTGTGGGTAGGTAGGATAAGTTTTACTTAATATGAAAGATATAGTAACGAGGGTAATATGATGTTAAATACATGTGAGTCACCACAGAAAACATAAGAAGTGCTTCTATAGGCTAAGAAAACTATTTCATGCTAGTAGTGCCCAGTGTGAATGCTTGTGTGCGGATGCAGAATAATCAAGGAGAAGAATCTGACAAATATAAGGTCAATTGCAACTTTAACTACATCTTAGGCTGGTGAACGCAAAGGCTGTGCTTAGATATCGTTATCAGACAGCAACTCAAGTCGTCTTGTGCTAAAGGCCAGTTACGAACACGTTTTAACTCTCTTATTTAACTTGTAATACCCATAGCTTGCGCACAAAGTTTCCAGTTTCATCGGTAAGAAAACTGACACTCGAGAACCCATTTAAGTATTTAAAAGAAAAACCCCAAGTCCTAGATGTTGCGAAACCCATTATCGTTCATACAGAGACCATATGAAATTCGACGAATATCTCAACAAAAAATGTAAACGAAGACTGCGATAAAGAGGTTGAAGAATACCTAGGTGATGAAAGATTACATGCAAGCAAGAGTGTGAAGCTGGGGATCATCGTTAGAACATACCTTAAACTACCGATGATACAGAGAAGACGCCCAATGGAGAAAAATGAAGAAAGGGAAGATAGAAAAAGAGGTAAATCCCTAAAAGCAGAGGATTGTTGGGTACCAAAAACCCCAGCACATCATTGCTGTTTGGCGTATTTTCATGTTGTAGGAATGGGATGGGGAAGGAATATCAGGGGAAAATGCCAAAAGCTGCGAGCATAGGCTGCAGAGAGAGGGAGCCACTCACGAAGCTGTAGAATGGTAAAGCTCGTTTCTTTGACACAGGACTTGTTATACCTTTCTCTCTCATCCACGAGACTAAAGATGCTGCTCAATGACAATGAGGCACTGTTTGGAAAACTCATTATTCGTGTTCCAAACACGGAAGAGTAGCCTTGCTGCTGATGCTCTCGTGCAGCGCTGACCTCAGCAAAATTTCTTAATTTATTATCATGTTTTATAAATTTCTAGAAAAAATAGCTGAAAAATAAAAAATAAATCTCTTTAAAATAAAAATAATAATAATTTAATCTCATCAAATATGATAAATAATAATTTAATTTTATAAAATGTGATAATATTTTTTTAAATTCTAAGTGACCTAATTATTATTAAAAAAATCTTTGAAATAATAAAAATATCCCTTAATTTTAAAAAGTGCAACAGTTTTTTTCATTCACAATTCTAATTTAACAAATTATTAAAGTGATTTAAATATTTCAAGCTTTTTCTCACCATTTTTCTTTAATCAATAAGGTGTAATAAAGTTTTTTTTTTCATTCACAGCTTTAATTTTAAAATTTACAAGTCTCATTCAGTTAATAATTAAAGTAGTTTAAGCATTCACAATTTTTTCTCATAATTTTTTAATTTTTAAAATTAAAAATATTTTTATTATTCCATCAAAAACTTTAATGGCAATTGTGATGTTTAGGACTTAAAAGACACCATTACATTTTGCAGGACTAAATTGCTGTTTGTTTCTATTTTAAAGAGATTTATTTGTTATTCTATCAAAATATTTATGAATATACTGGCCAAACAAAATAAATGTGCAATAGTTAATTAATATTTTATGTGGATTGTTTTTTTTTTAAACCTAATTAAATGTGCAGTATTGTTATGAGACATTTTATTTTCGGCAATCTTTAGATTAATTGTTGCATAATTTGTTTTGTATTCAGTCACACCTTATTTACAAATAATAAAAGATATATCCAATTATCCACGTCACTTTTAGGCAGGTCTCATTTAATACGATTTTTTAAAAGGAGATTTTGCTTTTATGGTAAAAAATCAAGACAAGTAATATTATATGTATTATTTATTTTTTGAGATAATTACATATAAATACCATGGAGTAGACTTATTGATAAATAAGTCTCGTAAAATTTAGAAATCACAAGCAAGTCTTTTAAGACTTGATTGTAATTTGAAATTAGAGTGTAGAGTCAATAATAACCCTATTAAAAATATATTACATCAATTAAATAATTTACAATCACTTTATTAATAATTCATAATTATAACTTTAACTTTTTACATCAAATATTCAAATCTTTTTAACTTTGTACATGTGAAGTTATAATTGCAAAGAATTAAAGTGATAATTTGTAAATTAGTGATGAAGTAGTTGTAAACAATTAGTGTTAAACTTTATTAGTAATGCACAATCAATTTAATTGTTAGATATGTAAAATTATAATTTTGAAAATTTAAAATAATGGTTGTAAATTAATAATAAAATAGTTGTAAATAATTAGCATTAAATTTTTTAATAATGCATAATCGATTTAACTATTAGATATGTAAAGTTATTATTGTAAAAAGTTAAAATATTAGTGTAAATTATTAATAAAATAATTTTAAATTATTTGATTGATATAACATATTTTAATAAAGGCATTGTTATCTTTTGATCCAATTTCAAATAATACTCAAGCCCCAAAAAACTTGATCATTGTTTCTATATTTTACAAGACTTATTTGTAAACTTCTTGAAATGTTTCTAACATTATATTGCATCCTTCTCTTTGTTGGAACACTTCTTTACTTAATTCATTATATTCTTCCGCCATTGTTTCATTTATTTTAAAGAATCCAATTCCTTTTAATAATCACCTTGATTGTATTAAATGGTTAACAAAAATTTGGATAATTATTCTGTTAGAGAAGGCTATAAGACATGTCATCAATCTATCATATTTACTTCACACCTTTTAATAGATTAGTCTCTTATTTAGTCTTTAAAAATTTAGCTTAGAATTGAGGCGTTTTTTTGAAAAATTGCTTGAAAATGTCATCCAACTTCATCTTTTTAAATTCTTATCATTTTTAAATTAATAAGTTCTGTGTTTTCTATCATCAAAGTGATGAGAGTTTGGAATGTAACACCCTCAAAAATACAAACTGATTTTTCATAAATTATTAATTCAATAAATTATTTTTTTCATTGAACCCTTATCATACCCTTATCATGGTAGAAAAATTTCTACCATGATACATCCAAGACAATATACCACAGGTCTTAAAATATCTCAAAAAAACAATTAAAACCATAAGGGACAGACATAATCCTCATGGTATGATATTCAAATCAGATCATAAATCAAAAAGGACAGACATAATCCTCTTGGTCATATAAATACTTTTAATAAAAAGGATTAGAGTTTACATGCTTCACAAAGAAGATATGTCTTGAGTTGGCACAAGATACATTGTATAATCTAAAATAAGAGGCAACGTAAAAGATGGTGTCTCATACACCATAGTTACTACCTCTTGTGCTTTCTCGGCCGGACTCGCTCCTGTAAAAATATTAACCACGGGAAATGAGACTTAAAAGTCCTAGTAACCAAAAATTAATATGTAATGATACATGCGGATGTAACTAATCATGCGATTGCTAAGTGGGCACACAAAACATTTAACCGAACAATATTTCAAACAAACCGAACAAATATTTAATTTGCATGACTGACACCTTATATCCTCCTTTCGCCATGCTCGGACGCCAAATCACTCGGCCAAAGGTGAGTTGGACCAAGCGACACGCCACTCATTGGGTCCAATGAGGGCTTACCACGTGGTAATAATTAACCGAACAAAAATTCCATTAACACCATAATTAAAATACCCTGACAAGTCATGCATCATTCAAATATCCAAACAGAAATATATCCGAACAATAATATCTCATCATGATAAACAAAAAATAAATTTTTAACCCACTTGGCAATGATTTCACGGAGTATATAACAGTATTTATTTTCAATAATTTATAATTTTTTCCAAACAACAAAACAACACATAACCATTCACAAACACACCATCACAACACATTAATAATGGTTACCTTGTGTCTTGAATAACAAGTTCCCCTTCACAACTCCTTTTTCACCACTATCTTTGTCAATATAATCTACATAATTATTCACAATACTATATATTAATTTTACATTAAAATAAATAACTCTAATTTAAATAGTTAGAAAGTCTTAGATTATAATCCATATAACACTAATTTAAGATTTATGCCTCATTTAACTTTTAAATTCTTTTCTAAAATTCTTGTACCCTAATAAACTATTTTTTATCCTCAAATCACTTCTAGTATCACAATTTCATCTTTTATATTCTAAAAATTTGTCCAAAAATAAATTAAATTTTAAATTATCCTGAAGCCTCAAATCACCTTTCTATAATCTCAAAAATACCTATTCATACTTAAATAAATATTTAATAATCAGAGGTTCATCCCTACATCTCAGATTCAACATAACTTCAACCATATAAATCTAGAGTTTAACTCAAAAATTCTTAAACATGAGTTTCAACCTCAAGAAAATATTTAATTTGCATGACTGCACCTTATATCCTTCTTTTGCCATGCTCGGACGCCAAATCACTCGACCAAATGTGAGTTGGACCAAGCGACACGCCACTCATTGGGTCCAATGAGGGCTTACCACGTGGTAATAATTAAACGAACAGAAATTTCCATTAACACCATATATTAAAATACCCTGACAAGTCATGCATCATTCAAATATCCAAATAGGAATATATCGAACAATATAGCTCATCATGATAAATAGAAAATAAATTTTTGACCCACTTGCAATAATTCAAACAAGTATATAACAGTATTTATTTTCAATAATTCATAATTTTTTCCAAACAACAAAACAACGCATAACCATTCACAAACACACTCATCACAACACATTAATAATGGTTACCTGTGTCTTGAACAACAAGTTCCCCTTCACAAACTCCTCTTTCACACTATCTTTGTCAACACAATCTACATAGTTATTTCATAATGTTTATATATTAATTTTACATTAAATAAATAACTCTAATTTAAAGAGTTAGAAAGTCTTAGATTTATAATCTATATTAACACTAATTTAAGATTTAACCTCATTAACTTTCCAAATCTTTTCTAAAATTCTCATACCCAATAAACTATTTTAAGCCCAAATCACTTCTAGTATCACAATTTCTCCTTCTATATTCTAAAAATTCGTCCAAAAATAAATTAAAAATTTTAGAATTATCCTGAAGCCTCAAATCACTTTTCATAACCTCAAAAATACCTATTCATACTTAAATAAATATTTAATAATCAGAGGTTCATCCCTACATCTCAGATTCAACATAACTTCAACCATATAAATCTAGAGTTTAACTCAAAAATTCTTAAACATGAGTTTCAACCTCAAGAAAATATTCTATAATATTTATTATACCTTAAGAGATTTAATTTATATTTTTAATGTATCATATCATCAGATTAACTATCCTATAGAAAAATCTTAATCAGAATATTTATTCTATTCTACAAAATAATCATATCACTAGAAAGCTAATATTATTTATAAAATAACTATAAAATTAATTTTGTACTTAAAATAATTTTTTTTAAATAATCTAAACAGGAAAGTTAGAACATACCTGAAGAAAAAGAAAATAATCCCCCCTTGCGAGAAAACGCCGAGCAATGTGAGAGGAAGAGAGAAAAAAAATATAAAAATGAGATTGTGGGTCCCAAAATTATATTAAAAATTATAGGTTTGGATTTAATTATTCAAACCTTTAGGCCATGACTTGCAATTTTCACAAATACATCTTGGGCCCTTAGTTGCAATTTTCACAAATTGCATAAATTTTTCTTTTTCTTCCTTTTGCTCCTCCTGGTGCCTCCTCTTTTTATATGTGAGTAGGCATCTCACCTTCCCACATCTAATCGATGTGGGACTTCTACAGTGCCTCTCTCTCTTT